CAGCCGAGGGCCAGATTAAAGGTCTTGGAGGGCCGGATCCGGCCACCGGGCCTTATGTTTGACACCTGTGGTTTAGGCGGTCAAAGGTTTCCTTTTTCATCTTTCCTGTGGATCAATCCTGCCCATCACCTTCGCCTTTCACTATTTTTCAATTCTGTTGGGAAGAGAAACAGTTTGAACAGAGGTTTACAGTCACACACATCTGATTCCCTTTTGCATTTATAAAGTTCGCAAACACATTTCTCAAGCCGTTTTCTGCTGTTAGGATCCAACAACCACACAATTACGATGTCTGAATAATATAACTAAAATATGACAATATCAGAACCAGAAACAAAAGCGATATGGTTCAAAAGACTTGAAAAGATCGGCTTTGTCAATAGACGCATCCCACTGGGAAAACAAACATGGGGATTTGATGCTCACTTTTTGGGAAAATTCTTCCCGGTATGCACTGCACAATGACCGGAAGTCCGAAATGTAATACTTTAGAGGTCATTGTAGCACTGCTTTGTGAAACTACAGCTTCTGAAACTGCATAACTCACCAGCTCTTAACTCTTCTTTAGTCCAAGCCAAAGGGAAATGCTCAGGGGGAAACATTATAACTGGTACGTTCATAAAAATGTGGTAAAACGATGATATAAAAACTCTCTCGCTCCGTCTCTTTCGCAGATGACGGTGAGTTTTATTTCAAATTGAGCGACTAGGCCTTCATCGGGCGAAATGATTCATTAGAAACCATTAAATAGAAACTTAATTAGAACCTTTTGGAGCTCGTTATTAGTGAGCGAGTGTCCCTGCCCTTTGTCGAGGAGTTTAAGTGTTTCGCCAAAATCTCACACCTGCAAATGAGTTGGTTGGTTTGCGCTACGAATACTACGAATATTACTAATTAGGACTTTTGTTTGGTGGGATCCTTTCTCAGTTAACTATTTGTCGTAATTTTACATCAGTTAAACGGCTGTGAAGAAAAGTAGAAAACCATTAAAGTTGGAAAATACAGGAAACGTAATAACTCTACCTAAAATGTGTCATAAATTTAGGTATTTAAAGGTGCATTGTGTAACTTTTCAGATGGAATGTTCATCAAATGCTTTTCTCCATGGACATGTCATTGCTTTATCTGGAATATTTCACAGTATTGTCTTAAATATTTTTATTACAGTACGATATTTATTGCGATATTTTGATATTTTGCGATATAATTGTAGATAGGATGCTGTTTGGCTTTTAAAATACCCTGACAAGATTTTGTTGTGAATTATTACTGTCATAATCCCAAGAATTCAAGAAAAAAATGTATAACTTCATGTTGTTTGCGCTGAAATGAATCATGGGAAATGTAGTTCCAGATGTTTATAAGCTGTTGCTACTCTAAAAAATACATACAAGCAAAGGAACTTGTAATTCGAAATATTGTGACACCCCACGTATTATTTTGAGACTTTTGACGATACGATATCACGATATTTCGGTTACTGTTACATTCCTAGTTTATGTCATCGTGAAGACCAAACCGGACCAAGTTACAGGTCAGATCTGTGGAGAGGCGCCCACAGTCACAGCCACAACACCTGTTTTTCAAGGTATTTTTGAGCTAAAAAAAAAACACTTGAATAGAACCACTGTAAAACAACTGATTGATAAATGTGAGGTAGAGCTGTTTAATGTCATACTGTGGAATATTCCAGAGAGCAATGACGTATCCATAGAAACAAGCAGGTGAGAGACCCCCAACCAAAAAGTTACAATGGAATCACAACACAACAGAATCCAGGCACTGGAAAAAGTAAAAATTGCACAAGGGAAAATATAGTTAAAAGGCCTTTATTTAAATGGCCAAAGCCAACATGTTTCAACTAAACTGGTCTTCGTCAGGTCTTAGATTAAAAACAGGGTGTGGGCGTGGCCTTTAAATAAAACACAACAACCAGTAGTAGGGACTAGAGACTGGAAAAAGTTACAGTGATTTAACCCATTAACGCATGAATTTATACAGATGCATATTTTTAAAAAAATGTTGTGTGTGTGTGTGTTTTGGCCTTTAAATAGATGGTAAATTAAGTTGATTTATTAATTTGACTATAGCAAAAAAAAAAGAAAAAAAGAAATGGGTATGTTGCAAATTTGCGACAACTAGAAACAAGAGCTTGCCAAAGTTTCCTAGGAAAGGTCCTGCATATACACTAATCGGCATTGGAGGGATGCAGTCGCTGTCTCGGCTTATATTTTGATCCAAAGGGTTTGTCGCATATTTGTGACACTCGGCGTTAAGGGGTTATCATAATTATTTTGTCAAATCATTACTATTGTGCAAATAAAACAGGTTTTGTGTCTCGTTTACATTGTGATTGCACTGCAAATTTCTCTGATTTGGACATGTTTTTTAAAACTTATATCAGGTTATTCATCTTGTTTTAGGATTTATTATCTACTTACTAGTTCTGAGATGCTTAATTCTAGTCTAGAGGTAGTTTATTTTAAGATAACTTGTCAAAAAATATATATCTTGCTGCATGGACTGATAATTTCACTATTTTTAAGTCATTTTCTGATAGATTTAAGTGTTTATATCCACTGTGTTGCCAAACCATAGACCGTATATATGAATGGACAATGTGCCAAACAAAGAATGTGTCCATATATTCACCGCATTGTTTTATTAGCCGCAGGGTTCAAAGTGTGAGAAAAAAGTAGCGGTTTATAGTCCAGAATTTACAGTAATTATATTCAGTACCGTATTTTTTGGACTATAAGTCGCTCCGGACTATAAGTCGCACTTTTTGGGGAAATATATTTTATAAAATCAGAGACCAGGACCTGACATTTAATCTATAGTAATAACAACAGAACAGAGAACAACAGGCTGAGTAGGTGTTAATATATTAATTTAACATATTAAATGTTCTTCAGATAGCTATAGCAAAAACAACATAACATAAGTTTACCAAACTCACAATCTCACTCCAAATCACTTTCATTGAATTTTTCATCCTCTGTGTCACTTCTGCACGACCTCTGGAGATGAACCATAGATCCATGATGTAAACAGAGCGCCGCTTCCTCTTCTGTGTAGCTGTCATCAGACTCAGCATCAGTTCCAGTTTATTATTCCGGCTTTTCTGAATCCTGACAGGATGGTTTCGATTGTCACTGAAGTTCAAGCTTTGTCGATTCATCCAGTGACTTCAGGAAAGTTTCATGTCGCGCCCTCCTGGTTCCCATGAAGCTCTGTTCTCCATCTTCACTTTCCGTCAGTCCCTCACAAGTTTCTCGCTCACTCCAAACTTTCTTTCTGCTGCTCGATTTCCGTTTTCGGCTGAATATTTCACTACTTGCAGCAGGACAGAGGCTCTTTCTGCAGGAGACATGCACAGTAGAGTGAAGTGACAGTGGTACAGGAGTAATAGTAGTACTAGATACTGACACGCAAGACTAGAGCGTCTCGTGGCTGTCAGTGTGAAAATTTTAATATATAAGTTTCACCGGAGTATAAGTCGCAGGAAACACACAAACCATGAAAAAAAGTGCAATTTATAGTCTGAAAAATCCGTTATGTTTTGGTGAAATGAGTAGTCTAAACTGCTACATTCTACACAACTCCGCTTATCACGGCTTTGACTACAGCTCTAGACTAAACACAGATCCAGACTTGGGTCAAAACCTCAGCGCTTCCTCAAGTGAAACCAACATTCTCCCTGATACACCGCTCACATACCAACAGTGTTGGGAAAGTTACTTTTCAAATGTAATCCCCTACAGATTACAGATTACATACCCCAAAGTGTAGTTTGTAACGCAATCCATTAAATTACTTAAAGTGAGTAACGAATACTTTGGATTACTTGTTTTTCTGTAGAGAAGTAAAGACTAGGAAATAGTAACATAAGAAGTTTTGTCTGATAAAAGAAAATGAAAAGCCCAGACTTTACTGAACCAAATTAAAAATATTATTGCTAGATGAGGAAGAGACTCATCCATACAGCATGGTTTAGTCCTGATTTAGACCTGGTTTAGCCCTGGTTTAGTCCTGGTTTAGTCCTGGTTTAGTCCTGGTTTCTAGTTTAGCCCTGGATTTAGTCCTGGTTTAGTCCTGGTTTAGATCTAGACCTGGTTTAGATCTAGTTTAGATCTAGTTTAGACCTGGTTTTAGTCCTGGTTTTAGACCTGGATTTAGTCCTGTTTTAGACCTGGTTTAGATCTAGTTTAGACCTAGTTTTAGTCCTGGTTTAGTCCTGGTTTTAGACCTGGTTTTAGTCCTGGTTTAGATCTAGTTTAGATCTGATTTTAGTTCTGGTTTAGTCCTGGTTTAGATCTAGACCTGGTTTAGATCTAGTTTAGACCTGGTTTTAGTCCTGGTTTTAGACCTGGTTTTAGTCCTGGTTTAGATCTGGTTTTAGTCCTGGTTTAGATCTGGTTTAGATCTAGTTTAGATCTAGTTTTAGATCTAATTTTAGACCTGGTTTTAGTCCTGGTTTAGATCTAGTTTAGACCTGATTTTAGTCCTGGTTTAGTCCTGGTTTTAGACCTGGTTTTAGTCCTGGTTTAGATCTAGTTTAGACTTAATTTTAGTCCTGGTTTAGTCCTAGTTTAGATCTAGTTTAGACCTGGTTTGTTTCCGGCAATGAGCGGAATTACGAAAAAAAAAAAAATATAGCCCAAAATATGAAAACAGGAAAATCCCACCATGTAATCCATTTATTTCAACAAAGTAACTGTAATCCAATTACCACTCACTGAAACAGTAACTGTAACTGAATACAGTTACTCATAATTTGTGCTCTGATTACATAACTCCAGTACATGTAATCTGTTACTCCCCAACACTGCAGACCAATGGATTTCATAATAAGACGTTGTTAATATTTCCCGTGCTTTTCTATTCATTACACAAGTGTAATTATCCAGCAGAGCACAGGCCTATTTACCGTTTCCCTTGCGTTGCATTTTTTGCTTTTCTAATGACCGCTCCCTCTCTTCTTTCTTCTTTTGTATCAGACTCAAGTTGCTCTGCTGACCAAGTATCTGTGGATCGGAAAACACTGTTACGAGTCCAGAAACTTCGCCACCGCCATGCAGATCCTGGGAGGCCTGGAGGACGTGATCGTCAGGCAATTACCCGTAAGCTCAGAGATTTCGGCGCGTGCAATAAGTCAGATGCCCCGGAGTCAAATGTTTCCTTCAGCTGTGATTGGTTTTAGACCGTGTTTAATTAGGTGCACAAATGAGAAATTAACATTAATGCATTCAAATAGAGCAGAGCAGTGAGGAATGAAAGCTATGAGGAGTGGTAATTAAAAACACTAGCGTAGAGGAAAAAAAAGACACGCGCATTTACACAAACACTGCAAAAAAGAATCTACACAATCTACTTTTTATTTAGAATACAGTGTTTTCTGATTTTGACTCATCTTTAGAGTAAAATCCTCCAGTGAAAGTAGCCAAACTCAAAATATCTTGGGAAGAAAGGCCACACTTAACCATAAACTTATAATGTCAGTCCATGTGTCATTCGTTCATTTATTTTTCAAAATAAAAGCAAAAATAAGAAAATGAAAAAAACAAAGATTTTCTTAATTATTTGTCTCCAATGTCACTTAAACTGCGATGACGGACTGAACCAGGACTAAACCAGGTCCGGGACCAGACCTGCACCAGACTGGGACTCAGCCCAGGACCAGGACTGAGACCACGATTGAAACTGGGAACAAGACCAAGACTGAGACCGGGCCTGAGACCGGGATTGAAACCGGGACTGAGACTGGGATTGAGAACAGGACCAGACCAGGACTGAGACCGGGACCAGACCGGGATCAGACCAGGACTGAGACCAGAACCGAGACCAAGACCGGGACCAGACTGGGACTGAGCCTGGGACCAAACCAAGACTGAGACCAGGACTTAGACCTGGACCAGACCGGGACTGAGACCGGGACCAGACCAAGATGAGACCGGGACCGAGACCGGACTGAGACGGGACCGAGACCGGGACCGAGACCGGGACCGAGACCGGGACCGAGACTGGGACCAGACCAGGATTGAGACCGAGACCGGACGGACCGAGACCGGACCGAGACCAGACCAAGACTGAGACGGGGACTGAGACGGGGACTGAGACGGGGACTGAGACGGGGACTGAGACGGGGACTGAGACCGGGGCTGAGACCGGGACTAAGACCAGGGCTGAGACCAGGACTGAGACCGGGACCAGATCGAGACGAGACCAGGACTGAGACCGGGACCAAAAGGGGACTGAGACCGGGACTAAGACCATCACTAGACCAAGACTGAGACTAAGACCGAGACCATGCCCAAGATCGGGACTGAGACTGAGACCGGGACTGAGACTTTATATTGATAAACGAATGAACGAATGATACACAGATTATTATGTCACGTTATTATAAAGTTGTTCCCTGTGTTTGTTTCACCCATCATTGTATTAGATTTTTTTTTTTTTAAATGACACCTCACTCTCAGCTAAATCTATGGAAAGGACTGTATTGCTTGTTTGTTTGTTTTTTACAGTGTGTCTCATTTGAAAGCAGGTTATAATTCATCAGCTCACTCACTGAAACCGTGCTTTAATTAGTCACGTATTAGATGCTAAATAAAAGCCCGTCTCTCTCGCCTACAGGCCTGGAAACACCTGCCTACGAAGGTGTGTGAAATCCTGGAGGAGCTGAGAGCCGTGCAGGTTGGTGCCTCCCAAATATCCAAACAGCCACTGCTCAAATACCCTGTGCACAATATTCTGAGAAGAGTCCTGCAGGGCAAAGAAATCAATACAAAACTGCTTCAAGCTACTTAACTCTGCAGGCCGAGTTTGGAGATTGTCCTGACAGCGAAAGTTGAAATTGAAAAACGGTCCAGCATTTTAGTAGTCAGGAAGTTGTGGGAGAGTTTACAAGAATATATGAATTATTTCTTTTTAATGCTATACCTTTTACGGTGGAGGATCTGCTGCGTTATTGCCTTGTCTGAAATGTCTCGCGGTATGGCATTAAACGTATCTGTTGTCATGGAAACAAGGTGACAAAACTAGGGCAAGTTACAGATCAGGTCCGTGCGTGCGTTTAAAAGAATGTATGAATTATTTATTTTTAGTGCTCTAACTTTTCTAGTTGTTGGGCTGCCGTGTTATTGCTTTGCATGAAATGTTTCACAGTGTGGCATTAAACTTCTGTCGCCATGGAAACAAGTTACCAACACTAGGGCAAGTCACAGGTCAGGACCACTGACAGATTTAAAAGAATACATGCATTTTTTTTTTTTCTTTTTAATGTTATAGCTTTTATGGTGGAGGATCTGCCATGTTATTACCGTGCCTGGAATGTTTCGCAGTATGGCATTAAACTTCTGTCGCCATGGAGACAACACAGGTCAGGACAGTGGATGCGTTTAAATGAATACATGACTGATTTCATTTTAGTGCTATAACTTTTCTGCTGCAAGGATCTCCCATGTTATTGTTTTGTCTGGAATGTTTCATAGTATGGCTTTACACTTCTATCGCCATGGAGACAAGGTGACAACATTAGGACGAGTTACAGGTCAGGTCCGTGGACGCGTTTAAAAGAATATACAGTATGACTGATTTCATTGTAGTGCTTTAACTTTTCTGGTTGTGGGTCTGCTGTGTTATTGCTTTGCCTGGAATGTTTCATAGTATGGCATTAAACTTCTGTCGCCATGGAGACAAGGTGACAAAACTAGGCCAAGTTATAGATCAGGTCTGTCGACACATTTAAAAAAAATATATATGACTGATTTCATTTTAGTCCTATAACTTTTCTGGTGGTGGGTCTGCTGTGTTATTGTTTTGCCTAGAATGTTTCGTAGTGTGGCATTAAACATCTATCGCCATGGACACAACGTGACAAAAGTAGGACGAGTTACAGGTCCAAGTCCGTGGATGTGTTTAAAAGAATATATGATTTTTTTTCTTTTTAGTGCTATAGATTTTCAGGTGGAGGATTTGCCATGTTACTGTTTTGCCTGGAATGTTTCATAGTATGGAATTAAACAGATCTATCGCCATGGAAACAAGGTGACAAAACTAGGCAAAGTCAAAGGTCAGGACTGTGGATGTATATAAAAGAATATATGAATTCATGAATTTCGTATTACTGCTGTAACTTTTCTGGTTGTGGGTTTGCCGTGTCATTGTGTTGTCTGGAATGTTTCATATTATGGCATTGAACTTCTATCGCCATGGAGACAAAGCGACAAAGGACGAGTTACAGGTCAGGTCTTTGGGCACTGTAACGTAGGTTGACCGTGAGCGGCTTGGGGTTCAGTGAGCAAGGTAAAAAAACAAATCCAGACACAGAACGGTACTTGTGGTCCACAGTTTACTGTTGTTTTTTCAATGATTACAAAAGTGCAAGTGCAAAAAGTGCAGGGTGCAAAACAGAGGCAGGCAGCAGTTTCCTCTCCAGCAGCAGAACACAGACTGATCTTGAAGGCGCCTTTTATGCTGGTCCTACTGATTGGATAAAACCACTATGCTAAAACAGGGATGGTTAAAATTATCATTAGCGTAAAATTAAAACCTAAACCTCCATAAAACAACCCAAAACCCAGATAACTATTAAAACCACCAACTATATATACATAAAACCCTAAAACCATTACACCAATTAAATGTTAAAACCCATTAAACCAATAAAATACCTAACCTAAAACCCCTGTACAAAATGTTACACGTGGTCCAGCCCGGAACCATAAAAGAGGGAGCTCGTTTCCGGGGGACTCTTTTCACACCTGGACAGAAGATAAAAAGGGGAGGTAAGTAAAAGCAGATCCACCATTCATTAAAACACAATAAAATACACTAAACACATCAACACTTAAAACATTCTAAAACAGATATTGCACCATATTTATTGCACAAAGTCAATTTAAAATGTAATTTATTATTGTCTCCCTTTTCCTCCAGGGACAAGCAACTTCCAATTAAAGTGCTGTGCCTCAGGAATAAAAAATGGTTAAAGGAAAGCAATAAATATTTTTCAAAACCAATTGTGTGCAATTTATTTTGTGATGTGCAAATATGTTAAAAGTGCTGTGTGCTAGGAAATTGTGCTTTAGTGAAGGGTGAAGGTGCTAAGTGTGGTTCTGGGGTAACAAACCAGCCTGTTTGTTACATTTCCCCCCTCCTCTCAGAAAGCGAAGCTACTCTTCTTCCAGTCTTGATAGGCAATCAGCCACGATGTTGGTCTTCCCTGGTTTGTAGTGGACGGTGAAGTTGTAGGGCTGTAGCGCAAGGTACCATCCTGCGATCCGAGTGTTCGCCTCTCTCATGCGATCCAGCCACTGCAGTGCTCTGTGATCTGTCTCCAGCACGAAGTGTCTCCCAAGCAGGTAGTATCGCAGAGAGTCGATGGCCCACTTCATCGCCAGACACTCCTTCTCTACAGCCGAGTATCGAGTCTCCCGGTCCAGCAGCCGACGACTCAGAAATACCACTGGCCTTCGTTCTCCATCCTTCTCCTGGAGGAGGACCGCTCCCAGTCCCACCCCAGAAGCATCTGTTTGCAGGATGAAAGGCTGGTCAAAATCAGGGCTTTGCAGGACTGGTTGGGTGCAAATAGCCTCCTTCAGGTCAATGAAGGCTCTGTTGCACGCCTCCGTCCAGCGAACTTTGTTTGGGGCAGAGTTTTTTGTTAAGTCACTCAGGACAGTGGATCTCTCGGCAAACTGAGGGATGAATTTCCTGTACCATCCCACCAGGCCGAGGAACCCCCTGACCTTCCTTTTTGTTGTGGGCACAGGGAAGGATTGGAATAGCCTCCATTTTTTGAACTTGAGGCTTAATTTTGCCATAGCCAATAGTGTACCCCAGGTACTCGACTTCCCTATGGGCCACTGCACACTTTTTTGGGTTCACAGTCAGTCCAGCAGTCTGAATCCTCTGCAGGACCTCCTGGAGGTGGTGGAGATGCTCTTCCCAGGACCGACTGTAAACCACCACGTCATCCAGGTAGGCTGCAGAAAACTCAGACACGTCACGGAGTAGATGGTCCATCAGCCTCTGAAATGTGGCTGGCGCCCCCTGCAAGCCAAAGGGCATCACCCTGAACTGGTACAGTCCAAAGGGAGTTTTAAAGGCTGTCAGCTCCCTCGCCTCTGATGCTAGTGCCAACTGCCAATAGCCCCGGGATAGATCCAGCGTGGTGATATAGGCTGCACTCCCCACACGCTCCAGAAGTTCATCGATGCGGGGCATCGGGTAGGGGTCAAAGTTGGAGATTGCGTTCAGGTACCTAAAATCAATACAAAAACGCAAAGAACCATCCTTTTTTGGCACAAGTACAACAGGGCTACACCATTCACTGTCTGACATTTCAATGATTCCCAGTTCTAACATAAGTTCAATTTCTTTTTTCAACACTGGCACCAACCGCTCTGGGATTCGGTAGCTCCTTTGTCTCTTTGGAGCATCCTTTTTGAGGCGGATCTGATGTTGAACCAGTGAGGTAAAACCGGGGGTCTCCTGGAAAAGATCCGGGTTAAGAAGCGGCCTTAACTCGTCCTGCTGAGAGGGAGAGAGGTGAGACAGGTCAATGGCAGCTGGCTCTGCAGCAGGGATGGGGAAAAACTTTTCCGTCACTTCCTTATCCTTCACGGCACGCACCCAAAAGCTGCTGAGAAGGTTCTTGGCGGACAATAAACTCTTTCAGCAAATTAACATGAAAAACTTGGTGCTTTTTAAGTCTCTCAGGCATAAACAGTTCATATGTGACATCTCCAACTTTTTTAGTTATTTCATATGGTCCATGCCACTTAGCAAGTAGTTTGTTTTCACTAGTTGGTAAAAGCAAAAGTACCTTTTGGCCTGGTGTAAAGGTCCGGTCCTTGGCCTTCTGGTCATACCAGGTTTTCTGTGTGGTTTGTGCCGCTTTGAGGTTTTCCTGTGCCAATGCTGCCATTGCCTCAAGCCTCTCCCTCATTTTGAGTACGTAGGCCACTACATTGTCTCCTTCTGGCTCCCGGCGCTCCCAGTGGTCCTTGAGCAGGTCCAGGGGTCCCCTCACCTGGCGTCCATACAAGAGCTCGAAAGGTGAGAAGCCTGTCGATGCTTGTGGGACCTCACGGTATGCAAAGAGCAGGTACGGAAGCCACTGGTCCCAGTCCTTGCCTGTAGAAGAGACAAACTTGCGCAGCATCGTTTTCAGAGTCTTATTGTATCTCTCCACCAAACCGTTCCGTTTGGGGGTGATACGGTGTGGTCCTAATTCCCTTCACCCCTAGCAACTGGTAGACCTGCTGGAGGAGCTTTGAAAGGAAATTGGTACCACAGTCAGTAAGTATTTCTTTTGCTACCCCAACCCTTGAGAAGAGCTGCAAGAGACAGTTAGCAATCTGTTTAGCCTTAATAGATCTGAGTGGGAAGGCTTCAGGGTAACGTGTGGCATAGTCTGAAATGACCAAAATGTAACGGTTGCCTGCTGAGCTCTTCTCCAGGGGGCCTACAATGTCCATCCCCATTCTCTCAAATGGAGCCCCAATAATTGGCAGAGGCTGAAGCTGGGCCCGAGCTACTCCCTTGCTTGAAGTAAGCTGGCAAATTTGACAGGAACTACAAAATTTGGAGACCTGTGAAAACATTCCCGGCCAAGCAAACCGGCTGCCAATCCGTCTGAGGGTCTTTTGAAAAGCCATGTGGCCTGCCCATGGGACTGCATGGCCCAG